ACCCTTTGCTGACAAGTCCCCGATGTGACGTGCCTTTCGGCCCCCATTCCCGCAGGATACCCATCGCAAAGTCTTGTGAACTTCGTCCGCCGACATGGAAATCACCTTAAAATTCATAAGTTTGCCCGGGGGCAGAAAGGGAAAATTTAGGAGAAACTCTAGAGGCGTCAGGCAGAAACCTCAAGTAAAACAGCAGCTGCATGTCATTAACTATATGAGCGCCAGGGCGTAATCCTCTCCACTTGGCGCTCAACATGGCGGATGCGTAACGCGACCAACTTTTCAACGCTTCATTTTTCGCACATTTAGCGCACCCACTTTTTGGAGTGTGTGACGCGACACCTTTATGCCCATACTCCAGGATATTTTTCACTTTTTTTTTGCTATTTTGTTGTCATCAAAGCGGTGGATTATGCGCACAAAAAACGAGAGTTTATGTATGAAATTATGCAAAGCAGACCAGCAGACGATAATGACGATGGTTAGGAATCCTGCGGCTGATGACGATAATTTCCACAAGCCAGGACTCTTTAACCCGTCAAGGCCGCCGCGAAAGCGAAAATGAGTTCGGCTTTGTTCCATTATAAATGCATTTTTTTTTTGCGATTATTATGATTAAGATGAAAAGTGAAATTTTGTGTGCTTGCATGGAAATTTCATATTATACCCTTGCAGAGGGTATTATAATTTTGGTCAAAAGTGTGCAACGCAGTGAAGGAGACATCTCCGACCCTATAAAGTATATATATTCTTGATCAGGATCACCTCCTGAGTTGATATAGCCATGTCCGTCTGTCCGTCTGTCCGTCTGTCCGTCTGTCCGTCTGTCCGTCTGTCCGTCTGTCCGTCTGTCCGTCTGTCTGTTTCTACGCAAACTAGTCTCTCAGTTTTAAAGCTATCGTATTGAAACTTTGCACACACCCTTCTTTCCTTTGCACGCAGTATATATGTCGGAACGGCCGGGATCGGCCGACTATATCCTATAGCTGCCATATAACTGATTGATCGGAAATGCCATAACTTTGGTGTTTGTAAAGTTAGAAAGTTGGAATTTTCTATGGGTTTTATATTTGGCTAATCAATCCTACCTACCAAATTTCATAAGGATCGGCCGACTATATCCTATAGCTGCCATATAACTGATTGATCGGAAATGCCATAACTTTGGTGTTTGTAAAGTTAGAAAGTTGGAATTTTCTATGGGTTTTATATTTGGCTAATCAATCCTACCTACCAAATTTCATAAGGATCGGCCGACTATATCCTATAGCTGCCATATAACTGATTGATCGGAAATGCCATAACTTTGGTGTTTGTAAAGTTAGGAAGTTGGAATTTTCTATGGGTTTTATATTTGGCTAATCAATCCTACCTACCAAATTTCATAAGGATCGGCCGACTATATCCTATAGCTGCCATATAACTGATAGATCGGAAATGCCATAACTGATTGATCGGAAATGCCATAACTTTGGTGTTTGTAAAGTTAGAAAGTTGGAATTTTCTATGGGTTTTATATTTGGCTAATCAATCCTACCTACCAAATTTCATAAGGATCGGCCGACTATATCCTATAGCTGCCATATAACTGATAGATCGGAAATGCCATAACTTTGGTGTTTGTAAAGTTAGGAAGTTGGGATTTTCTGTGGGTGTTATATTTGGCCAATCAATCCGACCTACCAAATTTCATAAGAATCGGCGGACTATATGATATTGTTTTCCATTTAGAATCTGTCGTCGATTCATTTTTTATACCCTTGCAGAGGGTATTATAATTTTGGTCAAAAGTGTGCAACGCAGTGAAGGAGACATCTCCGACCCTATAAAGAATATATATTCTTGATCAGGATCACCTCCTGAGTTGATATAGCCATGTCCGTCTGTCCGTCTGTTTGTCCGTCTGTCTGTCCGTCTGTCTGTCCGGCCGGGATCGGACGACTATATCCTATAGCTGTCATATAACTGAACGATCGGAAATGCCATAACTTTGGTGTTTGTAAAGTTAGGAAGTTGAGATTTTCTATAGGTTTTATTTTTGGCCAATCAATCTGACCTACCGAATTTCATGAGAATCGGCCGACTATATCTTATAGCTGCCATATAACTGAACGATCGGAAATGCCATAACTTTGGTGTTTGTTAAGTTAGGAAGTTGGGATTTTCTATGGGTTTTATTTTTAGCCAATCAATCCGACCTATCAAATTTCATAAGGATCGGCCGACTATATCCTATAGCTGCCATATAACTGAACGATTGGAAATGCCATAACTTTGGTGTTTTTAAAGTTTGGAAGTTGGGATTTTTGATGAGTATTAAGAATGCATCATATGAATAATTTTGGAGAATATAATTTACAGAGTATTCTGCAAGGGTATATCAACTTCGGCTCCGCCCGAAGTTAGCTTTCCTTTCTTGTTTTAATTACAATTTGCTTCGGCCGCAAGTGACCCAAATTTAAATGTACATATATATAAAGAAAGGTTCTTTCAACCCTTTTGGCGACCGACAGTGTCCTCAGCTGCATGCCTGGCTGCATAATTATGTTGCCAAACTGGTTGGCTGACCAGCAAAAAATACAAAGGGGAAAAAACCCTAAAAGTCGAAAGCCCAAGTTACTTGAGCATGACGAATGGCTTTGTCGAGTTTACCACTTCTTCGGAAGATTTTATTAAAAATTCCTTTGGCACAGGTGTAGTTTGGAAAAAGTTTTCAATTCGCCTTCTGCCAAATAATTGGATGGTTTTTTTTTAGAATTCTTTTTACTCTTAAGGCTGATAGAACCTGTTGTCAAAGATTAAATATTAATGGCTTCCATTAATATCATCCTCGGCCATCCAAAACCAATAATGTCGCGATATTTATGGGCGCTTATTTATGCTCGAGAAGTTACCATTTGAAAATCGATAATAACATTGAAGTTACTCATTGATTTATTATACTCAGCTTTGGGATGTACTTAATTTCAGCCTCTAAACAAATTACTTTTTTTGAGGAAACCGCTTTAAATGGAAACCCTCTAAGGGCGGAAGTAGAAACGATCTGATATGGTCGCGAGTCCGCAGGTAGTGTTCATTTTGCGGTTTCTGATTGTCAAGTCAAACGAGCAGGTGTAAATCAATCGCCCCTCAGAGGTAACTTCTCATGCGGTGAAAAGATACGTGCGTTTTGTTTAGGGAAAAAGTAAATATTAATAGCTTTTTCATAAAACCAATTGCAGTTACTTTTTTTTAAGTTTTTGGCCTTGTTATGCAATAAAAGCTAAAGCGAAAAACCCAAATTCGATTATACCGATTTATAAATAAGTATCAGTTACTAAAATAAATTGAATTTCAGATTTATTGATAGCATAACATAAATTAACTACATTTGATTAAAGCACTTTATTTCTGATTTTTGTTTAATAACCTTGGCATGTACAAGCATAAAAAATAATAAATACAAGCCACTGGAAATAAAAAAAAAACAAATTATGAAGTTAATAGTTATTCAAAGAGTTTTTTGTACGGACGACTATAAATACTTCTCAGTAACAAAAAATACTAATATATGAAAATGTAGTAATTTAAAATAATTGTCGCTTGAAAAGACATTTCATCTTATGTATTTATTGGAGCCGTTTTTCTTTTACTTTTTCAGATTGATACAAATTTCCTCATGCGTTCCAAAATGGGGCAAATAATAAAAGTAAAATCACAAATCTGACCTCCTTTTCCCGAAACAATCTAATTTACGCATGAGATTAGTTCCAGGAAAATTCTATCTAAACATTGTAAATAAAATTCAGGGATTCTCCGGCAAACTTACCCTATGCACAGCGGCATGTAAATCGAAAATTACCAGAAATTGTCACTTTACATCACGCCTGCTGCAGGACCCATAAATCATGGTGCACTCACACGGTGGCTCACGAAGCCGCAATCTGGTCTAGTATTTTGGCAGTGGGTATGTGTGAATATTCAAATCAGTTTCTGGCTGCCAATAAATGAAATTCGCTACACACTCTCACTCACTGAGCATACACTACCAAACACACACACAGACGAAACACACACACGAAATGAGTGGGAAAATTCGAATGGTCCCGTGTATTTAGCAAATGAACCGTACTTTCTGTTTACTTTCCCGGCTTCTGTTTTACTTTTTTGGTAACGCGCACTAATCAAACTTTACAGACGTTGCACAGCAATGCGATCAGCGGAACAGAATTAAATTAAATGCCAGATGAATGGCAGCATCATTACGAGGGCAACACTTTTTGGCCGCCAATTAACTCGCCCGAATTCAATTAGGCCAGGGCTCCGGGATTTAGTCCTGATTTGTGGCCAAGTACACAGGCGTCTCAGCTTATCTGCCGGATCTGCGGCAATCCTACGCATAAAGTACGCTAAAAACACTGCTGCAAAATGCCACTGAATCGAACAGCAAACCGCGCTATCCGCAAACCAAACGAACACTGAAGTCGGCCGAAAGCGCGCAGAAAGTTAAATCCGAAGTCGAGAACGGCGCTCGAGCTTCCAACGGTTCGAGGCAATCCGAGCGACAGTTGCAACATGTTGCAACTCAGTTCGGGCATTCTATGTTTTTGAGTACGGACTTCCGATCTTTGGTTTGAGGTCCAAGCCATAACTCCTACGCATTCTGTTCTTAGAATTCTTTAATGGATTAATCTTCATAAAACAATGGCTTACAAATTTAGTCTCCATATTACCTATTAGGTGAGAATGCATTCAAAATTTGCTATTTCTATAATTTCTATGGATTAATCTTCATAAAACAATGGCTTACAAATTTAGTCCCCATATTACCTATTAGGTGAGAATGTATCAAAATTTGGTATTTCTATAATTTACGAAACTTAAGAAAACAATGTCAAAAACATTCAGGGCACCATTACCTAAAAAGTCGGAATATAACAAAAAAATTTGACTCGCATCTTTTTGTGTTATCTGCTTGCCGGTATATTAATATTTGTGGCAGTGTGGTCGTTTAGTAATTACATTTAAATACTAGATTTCCGTCCCGACACTAATGAATTTAAGAAATACGACGCACATGGAGTTTAGTTTTGACAGCTTACTTTCAATTGCAATTACAAGCAAGAAAATTGATTTGATTTGATTTTTAAAGCCATCGAATCTGGTAAGTTGTAACTTTAAAGCCAGAAGTAATAGATAAAGCCAACACTTTATTGACCAGCCGCAATCTCCATTGGCAAAGAAGGCAATTCAATGGAATCCGACAGTTCCAGCTCGGTCTCCAGCTCGGGCTCCATATCCAGTGCGAACTCCGATGTCTCCACAAGGACCAACGCAAGCTCAGGTTCTAACTCAAGCGCTACCGCCAGCTCAAGCACTACTGCAAGCACTAGTTCCTTCACCACAACAAGCTTCTTCGCCAGCACAAGCTCCTACGGCAGGACACGCTCCTTCGCCAGGACAAGCTTCTTCGCCAGCACAAGCTCCTTCGCCAGCACAAGCTCCTTACCCAGCATGAGTTCCAACGAAAGCTCAACTTCAACGCGGAAACGTAAGCAAAGGACCCCGAAGCGTGCCGGCAGTAAGTCAAAAAAGGCCAAATCCGAAATGCCGAAGACCCAGGGATCCTGCGATTCCTACAAGTGTCCTGTGTGCCTGGAGGACGTGCGCCTAGGGCAGCCGGTGTCCACCGCATGTGGCCACGTCTTCTGCCAAAAATGCATCCGGGACAGCATTAGGGCCACGCAGAAGTGCCCCTTGTGCGGCGTTAAAGCACCGAAATATCATCGGATTTACCTGTGAGGAGGTATAAAATCTTGTTGTCTGACAAATGAGGGATAAATATATATTTTTTCTTGTTAAATTCATAGAATTCTTTGTTTAAGATTTAACAACAAATTGTATAATTAAATATATAAACCTTTAGAATTCGAGTTCTATTAATTTTTTTTTTAAATGGAAATGTATTGCCAAAGTTATTGCACTTGCCATCTCTAAAAACAGCAAGCTTTTGTGTAATTCTTCTGCTAAATCTATAAACTTTAAGGAAACACCTGGAAAAACTGTTGCTGCATCATAACAATATGAAATAAAAGGAACTTATCCGAAGTGCAACATTCCCAAGGAGACGACAATGCAGTCGGAAAGTTTCTGGTTGAAAACTAAAAGTCAAATATAGGAAGGCAGACAACTTTGGCCATAAAACATGGCACAAAGCCACACACTCATGCTGGCCGGAAATTCAGAGAAAACCCGGAAAAAAAAGAAAGTACTCTTCAGGAGGGGTGGACCAAGGCAAAGCAATGAAAATTCCGACCTACCACAATAAATTCCGCGGGAAAAACAACGCAAACGATGCCAAAATGAGAGTGAAATGGCCAGGACACACACAGTGGCTCAGAGGAAGCACACCCCTCAGAAAACCTCAAGGAAGCATAACGCACACAGGGACACCTCAGATACGGCGCTATAAATCGCGCTTAGCCAAAACAAAACATAGCGTCGGGCATCAGAATCGGTTACAGTTTCGGATGTGGAATAGGAAGTCAGCCCCCAAAAATCTCTGACCTGGCACAATGCTCTACATTCTATGTTTCGGTTCGAGTTGGAGTTGGAAACGCGACTGCGCACTAATACTGGCGGCAAAACAGCTGTTCTAGGCGAGTCCCTTACCTAGGACAACATGTGCATCCGTGAGGGTGTAAGGTCCTTGCAGCCTCATCACCGAATGACTGGAGGCTGGCCACCGTTGTTTACATATCCATAATCCCCAAACCACCTTGTTTGTACAGGCTGTGAGGTTATTCGTTTTTAACCATTGTTGAATCATTAATAATTAATCAAAATACATTTCTTTTCATTGATTGCTAAACCGGGGATTTTTTCGTATTAATGAAAACATTTAAGGGATTATATTTTTCATTCATTTTATTTCTGAACAGCAATAATAGAAAAACGCATTCTATGCATGAGAGCATGGATGTTTAAGCCCAGCCAAGGAAAAGGATTTCGAACAGCAACATAACTCTTCAGCAGTCGTTCATAGAAGCTAAATCTTTGGTTAAAGAACGAATATTTAACCATATTATTGCTAGATATTACAGCTGCTTGTTAGAACTCACCCGTGATCATAGACCATCTTCTCGGCTTCGTTTCTTGATGTGCGCTTCACCAGCCGCAGGGACAGGAGCTGCAACCGCCACAGGGACCACACCCACAGCAAGGACTACAGCAAGGACCACATCCGCAGTACGGAGTGCCTCCCATCAGAGGAGCCAGGCAGCCGGGTGGGCAGGGTCCCACGTAGAAGGGATCGAAACTGCAGCAGAGCATCAGAACCATCTTGAAAGCTTTCGATTTGCCTTGGGACACTCGTAAATCAACTCTAGAATCTGCAGCTGGAGCACAAATGCCACAGCTGGCCGGATCGTGATGTAGTAAATTTGTTTTAACTCATTTGAACGCCTGTTAGGCACCTCAAAACTTACTTGTTTTTTTTTTTTTGCTGCTGAAGAAGTACGTTGAAGTCAGTCCTTGGCTACGAATTTAGAATTTTGTTTAGTTTTTCATATTTTTATTTTATTTTACGAAAGAGATGTGTTCAGTCTAAGCTGTTAAAAACGAATGAGCTCTGTAGGCTTCGAATCAGACAAAGCCGACCGGAAATTGTGAAGTTTAAGGTTCAAGGCCTACTTGGGATTACTACAAATTTGATAGCTGGAGCCTTTTACTCTGCCGGTGGATCTTCCTCAGCGGGTGTTTCCGGATCTGGGGCGTCTGGTGCTGCCGCCTTGGGTTCCCCGTCAGTTTCCTTTTTATCCTTCTCCTCTTCTTTGGTGGAATCCCCAGACTTCCGATCGCCTCCCAGTTTGGGCAAGAAGGGTCCCACCAATGCACACGCCTTACCTCCAATACTTTGGACCACGGAGCAAGCGCCATCCATGCGATCTCCCTCCATCAGTGGTGTTATACCCTCGGGGGCCGTCAACTGATCCGCCACCGGACCTCCGCGGGACACCAGTTCGGAGATCGGGGCACGGGTTTGCTCCACCACCAGGCCAGCCACCTGCGAAGCCGAATGGCTGACCACCAAAACCAGGGCCACCAAGCTCACCAATCCGATGGCCATGTGCACAGTCTCCATGGCTCGGAATGAAAAAGGAGCAGGCGGCGGTGCAGGATGCTCTGGAGGATCAGGAGGATCGATGTCGGATTTTTCAATCGTGCAGGCTGACTTCTTTTTCAGAGACTACTCTCCACCTAGTCGGCCAGTGCCGAGATGGTATCGTAGGTCGAACGGGCTAAGCTCCGAATGCTCCGCGAAAGTTCACTCATCAGGCCGCTGAGCTCATCCGAACTGATCACTGTCTGCTCATCCGCATGAATCTCCGGCGCTGGGTCGTTAACGATCAGGACTATTTTACGGACTGGCTGAATCATGCCGGACACATCGATCACGGGCTCCGGCTCCTGGTGATCCACCAGAAAGGATTCATGCAGGATGATCAACAAGCGGCGGACAGCTGGCACTATGCGATCGAGGGCTTCAATGGCAAAGGGGGCCAGGATTTGGTGCACCAAGTGATTCACAGAGTCCGACATAGGATGGATTAAATCAAAACAAATGCCTTGAATTTTGAATTTGGAAAACTATTTAATTTTACAAAGATTGTGACATGTTCTGATGCTTTCAAATTCTTTTATATGATTAAAGGAGTGTTGTGTTTTATATATATTTTATACATTTTTTTCCATTTTGCCAAGTGATTATAATAAAAATATTCAGGTTTGAATTTTAAAACCAAAAATTTCTTTATTTTATTTTATTTATTTTTGGCTTATATAATTTAAAAACTTTTTTTTTGATAAGAAGGTGGTATATGTATGCCGAAACGATCTGCAATTTAGGTGTTATTCCAATTTCCGCCTTGACTACTTCAGTGACTTTTGAGACATTCATAACTAATAGCTTCTATAGCAACAACTATGCCAGCCACCAGGAGTGTATCCTTTATAAATGTCGAAGCCACATGGACAAGCAGCGCAAGTCGGATACGGTCCGACGTAGTAGGGATTGAAGACGGGAGTCCAGGGGCGACTAAGATAGACCATTTTGAACACTCCGCAAGAGTCTGCAGCGTTTTGATTTTAATATTTTTTATTTATTTTACCTATTTTCTACTCACCAAAGAAGTCAAGAAAATACGGAAATGTTAACAATTGTAGACAAATGTTTTACCAAAACAGCACGTTCTATGTTTGAATTTTGACTAATAAAATAAAGAAACATTTTTGTTGACACTTGTAACAAGCATCTTGATTTCAATTTATTTGCTTGTTTTTTCCTTTCCGAATGCCACCAAATCATAGTTTGCGGAATGCAATTATTTACTGAAATTATATTAGCCATTTAAATTTAACGTGTAGTTTACAGTAGACAAGAAAATAAATTATAAATTATTTAAAGGTTTTTTGAAAAAAAAATATTATACAAGAAAATAGTTTCGCTATAAACGCAGAAAAAGCCAAATGTTTTGTCCATGTTAATTGCTTGTTTTATTTTTGAGCATATTCGAAGGAAAGCGGGTCTATAAGAATTTAATACCTAATTCAGTTGTCAACTTTAAAATTAGAAAATAAATACCTTTAGCAGTTTAGTGCAAAAAAGATTTACTTCGACATCACAACCCATTATCTCTTCCCATGTCCCATAAAGTAGGAAATGTACACCCTCTTCCATGAGATATGTAATACTCATTTGTTCAGATAATAAGCAAGGAGTTTATTGTATATGCTATGTTATGTTGGCTTGGTCTTTAGAAACATTTCAATAGGACAGTTCTATAGTTATTAAGCTCTCCACTGATCCGCCTTTGTTCTTCACTACCTTCTACTTCTGGTGCTCCTGTTTCGGTGGCTGCTGCTCAGCCTTGGTTTTTGGATCCGGGGCGGGATTGCAGCGAGGTAGTTGGGACTCTGGACAAACCCCGCACTCCGGAACAGTGCAGTGCCCCTCCTCCTCGCAATCCGGGTCACAGCACGGCGGATCGGGTCCGATGTAACCGGGATTAAATATGCAAGGCATGTTGCAGCTCCTCCACGAGAAACGAAATTCAAAGCGGATGTCGGAGGCGGGTGAGACCTATCTAAATCTCTAACATTTTAAAAATTTGTATTTAAAATCATTTAAAATTAAAAAATTTAATTTAAATTTAATTCTATATTCAATATAAATAGATGAGCTTTTAATTGTTTCGTTTCTTAAATTAATCACTCAAAGAAAAGTTAATACTATTAGTACTGTTAAACTAATTAGACTGTGAATATTTGCAACATCTCTGTTATCGATATGAGTTAGTGAAAATTAGACTACAATTAATAATAAAAACTTAATAAAAATGTTGGTTAAATATTTTCTTAGTTTCCTAAAATGTTGTGACCCAGTGCACTATGGGGTTTTTGACCACTTTATGTGGCATTTAGTCATTTTTTTAAAGTGCTCTAATTAAAAAAAAAAAAAATGGGAATGCATTAACAGAACATCAAACTGTTATGCCTCATACTCAAAATGTTAATACTTAACAGCATATGTTAGCATAACAGCTGTAAAGTCAGCTGTTGCATGCGAAAGTACCAGCGCTAAGTTTGCAATTTTTTCAAGGCGTTCTTTGAAATTAAATTATTCGTGTAAAACACCATTTGAAAAGAAAAAAACAAATGTAAACTGATCTCACAGGCTTGTACTATATGTTAAATGTATTAATTGTTTAAATTATGCGTGTTTATACTAATATTTTGTCACTTTATAAATGCACCTTCAGCTGAATTTTGAGGAACAAATTTCAACTTTGGGAAGAGTTTTGAAATAGAAGTTTGCATTAGTTTTCAATGCGTCCAAGTGTATGTTGTAGCCTTGTCAATTCTGAGCAAAAATATGTTAGTCTTATTGTGCACTTTTCCGCACTATTGGTGCAATTTGAATTTTTCTTAGATAACCTCACTTTCTCCAACGCCGACTTGGTTGCTGTTTGGAATAGCGGGAAGGGCCGGCTTGAGCAAGAAAAGGCTATACAATGTTTGATGAACAAATTATTTATAATATGAGGATCATTTTTAAATGTTTGTCCTGTCAGTTGCCCGTCAATTTGGACAAATTCGAATCATTTTGCCTACAAACTGGCGAATTGTTAGTCGATATGTACCGTGGCTGCCGATGAGTTTTGAGTTTGACGAAATTTTTTCTTTTTGCTTTTGTTGCACTTATTATCATCATCTTTTATAGGCATGGACCAACAAATTTCAGCTCTTTAAATTTCATTAATTTTTTTTTAGTTTTAACCGATTGTTCCTATGGGAGCTATAGGATATTGTTTCCTGATCCAAACGATTTTCACACTATATGTGCCTAGGGACAAATAATGACGATTGGTAAAGTTTCATGTCGATATCTCCAAAACTGACCGAGTTATTAATTAATGCCACAAAAACAGGTCAAAAACCCCATAGTGCAGTGTAATCAGATGCAGACGCACACACTCAAAAGCCAAATCAAACCATAAACACCAAAACGCCCTTTATCATCGGTTAGAACGTGCAGAATACTTATAATTATTTCATAATCGGGCAACACTTCACTTTTATGGTGACAAAAGCCTGCGGATGGACAACAGCCCCTGCAGGCAATCGAAACTGGGGCACAAATGTCCGCAGCCGCAAATATGGAATTTAAGTTGAAATTAATGAATAATTAAGCTGCGTCGGTGCAGACGATCGCAACGGAAGTGCGGCATTTGCATAGCTAGCACAATGAACTACATATGAACGGACATGACTTGGGCCGTTCATAAATTAGTTATGCAAATGCAAATGGAAATCTAACGGCAATTCCTTTGTCAATTAATCAATCAATCAACGCAGCCGCTTCTGCGATCCAGAAAGCGTTGCGGAAATCACTTGTCCCACATTTCTCCGCCCCCGCGCCAAAACTCAGTAGCTCCATTCAGAAAGATTACCCCAGTGGAAAAGCTGCATCTCCATTCATCTACATCACGCATGCCAATTTGCTGCAGCACGGTTTTTGATTGCCCGCCAAGTTCGAAACGCACTGAACCCTCCATCGAAGCCGATTTAAGGCGATGGCAGAGTCATTAGCATCAAAGGGCAACGTTGAGTTGACATGACCAGCGCTCCTGGCAGTCGATTTGCACAGTGGTCTATGGAGATTATTATGTACTATTCAATTATGATCATACAAATTCATACAGCTGACAAATATTAGAGCCTAATCGGTTCAGCCGTTCTTAATTGAGAAATTTAAATACATTTTTATAAATAAACACAATTTTTATAATTACAGATTGGATTGGAAATCATTAAATAAATACTATTCTTTTATTTATGAAACAATGGAACTTAATAATAAAATACTAAAATGTACAGAAAACAGGTTATAAATATAACTCACTCTACAATATTTACAAGAGAATATGTCCTTTTGTCGTTTGCCCTTTTTATTATAAATAATTGTGATAGATTATAAAGTAGTCTTGTTCTTCTGCATTTAAATATGCTAAATGTTAATTTTTTAAATTGGCAATAAATTTAATATATTGTTTCCAACCCACTGTGCAACACAGTGGCGTTCAGTGCCAACGGCTACAGCCATCAAAGTTGTGTGCACTATTTGTGTAATTTATATTCAAAGCGCAACACGATGCGGCGAGTGCGTGTGTGGGTGGGGCAGTGGGCGGAGGTGAGGGGGGTGGCAAGGAGTTGGGGACAGTCTGTTTGGGAGCTCTGGTGTCGGTCACTCCGAGCCAAACATCGTTCCTCTGGGCGACTGCACTTCCACGGTGCAGTCGCGCGAACTGCTTTTAAGTGGCGTTGGTTCACATCGGTCAGAGGAAAGCGGTGAAAGGGGTTGGAATATAGTCTTTCTTATCACCTCTTCAAGTTCAAATAATTTGTATTTTCTGTAAAGCTTTTTTAGTAGAATATATAAAATAATTAACAGGCAAATGTAAAACAAATTAAATAATGGTATTCTTTTCTATTAAATAAAAAATTGTTATTTTACAACATATTTGAACAGCTGGGGGTTATATAGTTACTGTATTCAGTTTTATAGTTTTGAAAAGTTTAATTAACCTTGCCGATCACATTTCTTTATCAAGCCTAAATTCAAATGCTGTTAAGTAGAACCAAGCTCAGGAGAAAAAAACTCTATTGTTTTAAACACATTACTCTCAGTGTAAGCCCTTAGATGGAAACCATCCATGCTTCGACATTGTCTATCCGACTTCCGTTTATCGGTCGTATTTCTATTACTTCTTGGAGTCCGTTTCTGGTTTTAATAATTCAAGTTCGAACCCAACTCGGCACACGCGCTGGGGCCACTTGTCTCGTCGTAACTGTTTGAGAAATGTGAAAATGTAGTGGAGGCCTGACAAAGTGACCGGAAGATGATACTGTAATAAAAAATAGAAACACACACTGCGACATGAAAACTATCCAATGTGTTTGCCTAGGAAATAGAAAACCAAGTACTGGAAATGAACACGAACAATGTTTTATATGCTCTGTGAGTTGTTGGGCTTTTTACTATTTGTAGTTTTCTTCTTTTTTATTTTTGTAAGCCATTTATTTACAAATGAACAATATTTATGGCCTCTTTTTGAAAGAGTTGCGGGGGTCTGTATATGTATTTGGTGCCAATGCGGTGGGGCCAGACTTCCGTCACAACCAAAGCATAGAAACGATCTTTTCATACTCACATATTTGTGTACATAATTTTGTGGTTTTATTTCGGTTTTATGCGCTTGGCATACCAACAATCGATTATGAATTTCAAACTCTGCACGGATGCCAATCAAAAATGGGTTTGTTGCATAAATAATTCTAATTTGCCAGCAATTATGGGCTGCCAAACTAGCTTATCTATTGATATGATGGATGGGTGCTGAAAGTGTGAACTGAAGAACAATTAAAGCTTTTCTATCAGTATGATAATTAATAGCTTATTTAAAACTAATATTTGTCTACGAGTTTGAAATTATTATAATTTAGTCTAAAATCAGATTTGTTTTACAAAGTAATGTTAAGTTACTTTAGTTTTTTATTTATTTTATTCGTGATATTGCAGTTTTTTCGCTTCTTTCAACTATTATAATAATACAACTTTATGAGGTTTTTATGTAATATCTTGATACCCTGAAATTTTATTGCCTGCGATTAATTTTATTTTACTTATGCAAAATATTCATCGATAAGATAGACTACATCTTGTAAAGCCAATTGGATTTATTACAGTATAAGTAGCTAAAATTACACCAAACCCATTATTACTTCCAGCAAGTTGCAATTAGTGTTGTCATGGGAAGAATTTATGAGGAGCAATTGAAGAGGCTAAAACAGGAACCCTTAAACGGCGGCACTTAAGCGATCATAACTTTGCCCGTGATAAATCGAACTGGAATTGCCTTGAGAGATTCTGGCCATGCAAAGCGGCTGGTCAAGAGCACAAAAGTGGTAAGAAAGGGGAGGAAGTGGCAGTGGCAGTGGCGTAAAGGAACCTCAAGCAGCTGCTGCCGCTGAAAGGCGAGACCGCTGAATGAATTGGGCTGTCGTTGTCTTGGCAATCAGCGCTACCGGGCATAGAAAGTTAACACACCCGAAACCGGCTTCGGTTTCAGTCGATGCAGCCAGTTGAAGTTGCCAGTTGACACACAGAAAACAATACGGCTCAGCTGCATTTGATCTTAAAAGATGTGAGTGAAATTAAACTTGGTTTGTATTGATTCCAAATTTATTTAATTTTTAAGAATATTTATAATATTGAATATTTAAGAATTCTTTTCTTTTAGTTTATTTCTTATGAAAAAGTGAATATTGAGCTTTCGGTCAGGTCTTGCCAAAAAAATAACACAGTGTCCATTGTTAAAAGTTAAACAATTTGTTCGAGAAAAAACTTATATTCCAATATAAGTTGTCTTTACTAATATTTTGAATATCTTAAAATCAATTCTCTTTGTCTTAGAATGAAATGTTTTCTGTGCAGTTGCTAGATGGAAGTTGCTGGTTGCTGCTTGCCAGTCGCAAGTTGCAGGTTGCCAGTTGTCGCTGCCGCAAGAAACTTGCCAGG